ACCCCAATCATTTTAGCCATCTACTACAGGAGTCATGTTTTGTTACCCTTCATAGATGAAAAAGTGGAGAAATTATTTTGAAAATCCAAAGTAGGGGAACGCAACCGACTAATCCGAAAAGAGGTCCGAACTACTATTTGACTGTTCGGGGGGCTAGGGAATTGTAGTTAATTTAGATTAACTCTGAGGAATCCATCATATTTGAATGGGGCCNAGCAATGACCAGGCATAGAGACTGCACCTGCGTAACAAAGATCCACATCATCTGAAATGAAAAGTTTGCAGGGAAACATTAGCCATAATCTGTGTGAGCTCCCCTAATTACAAGCCCTTCCAGCAATGAGCCCACCCGTTAGTTGACACACACCATGAATATGCTTTTCATGATTTAGCTCATCCAGCTCCATAGGTCGTAGTATTTGTCTTGCTTTGATGATCAAGCTTTCTGAAGCGAAAAAAATAGTTGCCATGACATTTAAGTCGGGAAAGTTGGCATCATCACACACCAAGCAGTCAACTCCGCAAAGGACCCAAACCAATGCGCTTTGTGATGTCCAACGTGTGAGAAACATCCGGGCACGAAAATTGTTCAGCATTGGCTCTTTCCACAAAAAAGGTACGATATAATCGCAATGTATCAAGTAGTGGATGAAACAGACGAGCTTCTTCACGATTGCCTTTCGTACAATGATGTATGGTAATGATATATATTCAGTGCACTCAGATCCCTGTGTCATGATATGCACAGATTAGTGATCATGGAAACAATTCTCACAATTCTACCAGACGAAAACCACATGGCACAGATGTCTCAATCTCTTATTATTTTGTAACTGTAGCAAACAATGAGGTAGGTTACATCAATACTGGAACGATTCAAGGTAAGAATAAATCGTCTTTAATCAAACGACAAAGAGAAGTGATCGGCCATGGTCTAGATCAAATTTTCGGCAGCTGATTTGGGAATCCTGGACAGAAACCAAAATCCGATGGCCACTTGATATCAGTGTACACATAGAATTTGATCAGCACATGAAAACGAAGTTGTTCAATTAAATGTGTCATTCCATTTATGTACAGCACAGGTCAGTTTACGGACAATAGTTGGATGAATATAGGGCATTCGCAGGCAACCAGTGAGTGAGAGTATATTCCAACGATGTACCAAGTTCATGTCAGTACGCACTAAGTAGTCAAATGCACGTACAATATCGATTTTGCCGTTCATGGTGATTGAAGCAGCATCTTTTGAAATGGACATTACCAGAAGTCATGTGAAAACCTAAAAATACATACTTCCTTTCTCGTGAGGTTGCTTTTTGGACTGGCGCACGATCTCAAATCAATTAAGAGCAGCTGAGGATCGTTGACCAGGAAATTGTATCGTAATGCCAAAACCGTTGTAATGTAAGGGCCACATTGAATCTAGGTCGAAAGGAAACATTACAATCCTAATGTGTAACACTTTAGTTTATTAGGATTATTGAGCAAAAGAGACGAATAATACCCTGACGAAACGGAGTATCGATTAGTATTGTCATTATATTTTTATCGTGAAAATGTTTGCATCAGGTCATTTGTTGAATAATACTACGCCCTTGGATTAGACTTGGCTTTGGTGGTCACAGTATAAATGCATGCCGACGTGACGTTCTCACTTTGAAAACGGAATCAAAATTGAATGTTTCAAGCCGGCTTGGGGGAAAGCATACTGTATTTTGAATCACACTACACTGTTAGAGCAGAAATACCGCAGCTCAAGTTAGGTGAGTAGTTTCAGACACTTAATCATCTCGCTCGATTAGGCAACGGTGGTTAATCATTGCAAGGGGTAGTTTCCAACCCATCCACCCCCGAGTTCATACCATTTCAAGTGGACGATTGTCTAGGTTTGAGTATTATGCGGTCGAAGTTAAGGTCGCCATATTTCACCACCAGTTTCAGTAGCGTCAGTGATATTGACCCTCACACATAAAACGCTGAGCCAGTGCAAAATTCTGACCTTGTATCTCAGCGTGGTGGATATTTAGAACGCCAATTCGCTTGTCTTTTGAGCATAATCTGCTTTTGAGACATACTCCTCGGAGTCCAATCAATCACAGCCTTCGATCAGATCTAGGATTTAGGCAGTGTTCGGGCCACCTGCAGCAGATTCACAACTATTTCAGTCCCAGCTTCTTTTGTTTATTAATCATATTTTCATTCTTATTCTTTAGGACGAATTGTAGGCAGTGGTCCAAACTAGTTAACATTGCATGCATTGCTCGCTCCACTGCTGAGATTCACAACAACCAAAAACAGCTTCGAAACCCCAATCGCCTCTCGAATCTGACCTGGAACGATTCATCATGCTTAAGAATATACTAATATAGCGGGATTAAACAACATGCAACACATCGTGAGTTTGTTACACACGTGGGTTTCAGACTAATTCTAGTAGCAAACTTGGCTGAACGTCATTTTACGCGTCGTGGTAAGCAGTAACTGAGCGACAGAACGAAATTCTCCTGAAAGTACATGATCGATCCAACGGTTACTGCTACTCGTCAAGCATGTTTATTGAGTAATCTCTCGGACACGCATTTACACAAAGAATTCCGATTATGCGCCTCGGAATACTTTTGAGGACTGGTGGGTTTCGAGTTTTTCACAGGCGAATTATTAATATGATTTTACGTCATTTCTTTATTGAAGAATACTCCCAAAATGCCTGTTTCTCCAAGGGAAAATAAGACCTTATTCTAGCCCCAAGAAATGCTCCCATGGGATGCGTCCACAAAAATATGCTGGGTAGCCCTAATCCATACATTTCCGCGGGAAGGGTTTTCCGGTACAAGATCGGGTGAAGCCAACTAAGATCACTGACAATGACATCAGTATTTTCGGTTCCATTGCCGCTCAAACTTTTGACGTTAGTCAATGTAGCATTTATTGCGCTTCATAGTAGACTTGAACGAAAAAGCCACTAAGTGAAGAGACATCAGCTAACACGAAGTGATATGATCGCCCAGTTCAATGACGTTTTGTGATGAACTAATAATAGACTAGTTAAAAACATACAGGAATTTACTCATAGTTTATTGAAGGTAATGATGTCTATAAGTGTGAAAATATACAGTTTAACGATGAAACCAGCAATCACGTAGTGGCATATGAAGCCACCGTGGCAGTTTGCCCAAAAGTGTACTACCGTCCACTTTTTCTTGGTGAGCAATGTGTTTTGTACACGATCTCGGAGCCCGTCCTATTAGGGTCATGAGTAGATATGTAGATGTTTGTGGTGGATTTATTGAAGATAGTAAATAAGGATGGAACGAGGAGACTGAAGTTGCATCTAGTTTCAGGTATGATCTTTCATATGTCACAAGCATCTGAATGCACACTGTGTACGAAACCAATAAGGGGAGAAAATATAGACTAAAATCAACAAGACCGAAAGAAGACATATGTCGCGAGATGTAAACATTTCGTCTAATCTCGGGATCGATGTGCGCCAAAAGTTCAAGTCACCTCTGAACCGCACATTCCCAGCTGCTCAACTTCAACCTATTGCCTCTACTCGTGGGATCGATTTGGACAAACGTGTACATGGTTGGCAATCCAAATCTGTCTCACACACTGCACAAATAGGCAGAAGCAACCATCAATTATCACAGCAATTGGCCGAACACATTCACAAGTAGTTGGTGAAGTCGATGACGCAACCCACACCTAGTAATCAGGCAGTCAAACGTAACCCGGGGTCATCAATTGCAAAACATCTCACGACAACCAAATACACAATTGATCCTTCATCCTCTTTTGAACCTTTGTTATGTAACTGCAATGCAAACCTCTTGGCAATAAGTGAGGCATTACTGATCAGGTTACATGATTCCGTTCTGTGCGCCCAAACGTTGTTGACACATTCAGTTCACTTGCCGTAGAGTGACCTGTTGTTTTTAATTCTAACAGCCCCTGTCTCTCTGTGCATGTCCGGTCACTAGGATTTACAAATCCAATGTGCTATAACTGCTTATTTGCTTTACGTCAGCGATTGAGAAGATTAAACGAAATGTTAATCTCGCGACATATGTCTTCTTTCGGTCTCGATGCGAAGGATAAAGAGAACTCATTGTTTTGGGAATAGCCGAAGAAAATGAAGAGTTAACGTGGACTAAGCATCCAAATGAACCATTATGGCCGAAATAGTAAATAAAATGTGTTGTACAGGTTTCGGCAACTGCTGTATTCCCGTGAGCATAGCGAAGTGTTAACGCCCAACTGTGTGGATGCTAGCTAGCACTGCCACTTGTGATAAGTACTGACTTCGTGCCACGGTGGAAAACAGCAAATTGATGACCCGATTCTATTGTCCAACGATACTAGATGTGGACACTACCCACATTTGTAGATAGGCTCACAGCGAACAGCCCAATGCAGGTGGTTAACTCAGTAACTTGGTAGATCACAACCGAAATGCTAGAATGCAACGCGTGAACCACGAAAGCATCATGGTTTAGTTTTGACCAGTGACCTTCTAATTTTATTGCACCCTATTTCGATACAACTATCAATTAAATTGCAATCCTTAATGGTCTGTGGAACTTTCAGGTGTTTCCTAAGTCAGAATGCCTTTGAGTTTAGTTGCATGAAAACTCAATATGATGAATCTTGTAAAAGCGAAATGGAAAGAGAACAGCTGCCCGATCGAAGAGAGCGAGCTCAAGCAGGAACTGGTTACACTACATAAGACTGTTGAAGCACATACACCCCAGAACTTCAGACGCAATCGCATGGTTAATAGCTATTTAATCATATGACAAGGTGTAATGTGCAAACAAACAGTGACACGGTGAAAAAGCGTAGCAGGAATGGCGCTATCGTAAAGAACAATGTAGAGAAGTTATGGCGAAAGCACCGCAGATGTTTGTTGATCAAAGAGGGTCGAGTGAAGGCAGTGAACACAGAAGAGTTAAAGAGCGAATAATTCAGACATTGCAAAAAAATACGAAAAGTTATTATTCCGGCTTCTTGTTCGTGCGACAATTGGCTCCAGCAAGAACTGACTCGTGTGCGAAACGTTTCGGAAGGAATAAATCGAACCCGTGATTGTTCAGCAGACGCTGTCCCTCCTCGTGTTCTTCTTTCCGAATTTCGTCGGGCACACAAGTCAGATTGGGGATAGAACCGTGAACGTGCGTTGCTATCATTGCGGCGATAAGTCTTCCAGTTATAGGTCCCGTCAAAATGCCCCAGCAAGAATGACCTGTAGCAATCCAGATACCCTGTACGCCTGCCACCGGGCCAATCACCGGGACACCGTCCGGAGACAGCGGCAAGTAGCAAGCATGTTCCGTAACCAACTCGGCTCCGTCCAACGTCGGAGACACGGAGGCTATCACTTCGCGAAGACGACTACAACGCCACGAATCCACTGTGACATCACGTGCAGTGGCAGGAACCGGCTAAAATGTATAAAGGGTGCCACAATTCATATCAAATTACAAAAATTCTAGCTAAATAGAAATGATTTAGCATTGGCAGAAATAAGCACCATAAAAATAAACAAACGACAAGCATCATGTTAGCTGAACAGTTTTCCGTGGTATCAGGCGGTAGATTTCATCCCCATGTGAATAACGTACGCGTGAGAACCCGATTGGTCTTAGACTTAGTCGAGGTTGTATCGACCATGCTACCAACATTCACCAAATTACGTAACACTCAGTTAACTGCACTGACCGCTTGCACCGCCTCTCTTCGAAGGGTGCATCGGTTTGCACGATCTTTTTATACTACTCACGAGCTCACGACTATTTTCCACCTGAGTTTGGGGTTACCATATGTTTTCCCTTTCTTCTTGAACCATGTAGTGGATATGATCTTCGAAACCCGTCTTCGTGTGAGAAAAGCGGTACCTATGTGATCTCATGTCGCAACTTATTTGACGAAGGATTAGGCAGACGACAGTGAACTGCTAGGAGATTTACAAAATTTCCTGGATGGTTTGAGTGCTAGTCCAGTGGTCTAGCATATATTTTGCATCTTCCACGAGTAAACCTACGCACAGGATTTGGAGGGTCTAGCTTGCGACCTTGATCTAACTGAGAGAAGAATAAAGAAGATGGACACACTTTACTATTTGGGAAGCTACATTTTACTTGATGATCGAATATTCGACAAGCATACCGAAGGCTCGACTGGTGTTTGCAAATCATCAATAGTGAGGTCACAATATGCACCTGTCTGTAAAACTTCCAGTGCATACTGCAGCAGTTCAACAGGTGCCTGTGTATGGCACAGAGACTTAGCTGTTACGGAAACAGGATGGAGATAGACTATCGGCATTTGAACACCGGATTGCACAAGTCTAGTGGGGCAACCGGACAATGCCGAGGCTGGGCGCAGAGTCCTGGGTAATCACGGTCAAACTAAGACCTGGCATAATGTTAAGAAAGCCCTGACAAGGGCACTTAGAGAAATCGATCACTTCCTGGTTAAGGATCTCGGGAGCAGTCTCATGAGTGGTTAGACACTGAGTGATATGGAAGAATGCCGTAAACAGTGGAACATGCGTACCTAATATATTCCTTGTAAATTCAGTTTACCGGAAGTTTGTATCTCCTCTTGGTTTTCCTCGGAATAGGACTCGATGCCCTCTAAAGGAGCAGTCAAAAGAAAGCAAACAAAACTACCGGGCGAAAGTGAAACGTGGAAGCTTGACTAAACTTGAACTGAGTATCGAACTAATGTATTTTTCAGTTTCATGGAGCCATGAGTGGGAGTTGAATACAAGATGACGGTCAAAATGGAATACCTCCCAAAGACGAGACATTCCACAGAGGTGGGAATGTAATCAAACCCCAATTATACCCCTCAATGGATACAGATTGTGGGGAAGTACTCGGTAGGGACCCCGAGCAAGAAACGATATTTCTACCAGGCAACCTGTGAGTATCACGAGGTAATATCCTGTATTCTTTTGGTCGCACACTAAACACTTGGGTGAGAAACGTGCCGAAGTAAAAGCCTTTGGTTTTTAAAGCATTGACAGATTCTACTGAGCTAGAGAGATGTACGACAGAGTGGGCAAGAATTGTTCCGGCAAGAACTACATTGTTCAACTATGCGACAGATAAACTCAGCCTGAGACTTAGATCGATTTATACTTAAACTTATTTTGTACCAGGAAACAGGGGTTTTAAACTAAGGAAATTAGGAACAGGTGAACACTAATGACGAATCGTTAGAAATGCTTCCAAACGACCGAGCGCCTCAAATAGCTTTTGCTGAGGAAGTCCTATCCATTACCTTCTCGTGGAGGTGTTAACGCCAAAGTGGGAGGGCAAAGGCGAATTCCCGGCGCTTTCCCCCGGGTTAACTGACCA